TACGACTACGTCACAGCGGTACTTCTCTCAACACAGGTAATTCCATTGTTTGAAACTTTCGTTCAAGTCCACCGGAGACTCAGCGACCAACTGAATAATTCTTTGTCAATTTAACGGACTCGAAACGGGGCATGGACTATTTTAATGCAGCACTGCATAAATCTCCCGAAGAGAACGCAGTATTTTGGAGAGTAATTTTGTGTGTATTGTTTGTTCAACAGGGTTTTACCATAGCACTCTTTTATTGTTTCCTGAACACGGAAGTCCAGAATACTGTGCGCCATCACCTGGAACGCTGGAAGACGGCCCGGAGTTTGGGTGGGAACCGACGTTACACGTATAGCAGCAAAGACTGGTCCCCTCGCTCCAGAACGGAAAGCATTCGGTGAGTTGGCTGCACTGCCTATACGTTTGTTGCTTTACAAGTTAAAAATCAGAAGAACCTTTTTCCCGTTGTCTGTTGCTTGAGGTTTTTGCAGTGATTTGTTGAGACTTGCATTTTCATTCTTCGTGCTTTGCGAGAGCAAAGTTTACTAACCGTACTGTTTTTAACGACGCTGCTAGAAGATAAGATTATATAGCGTGGAATAATAGAATAATAAATAAATTTTAAAGGACGTAAAAGAAGCCGTCGTAGCTTCGAAATGGGAAACGAAGGTGATAACTCGTTTTACACGCATTTTTTCTGACTGCATTAGGAACTGTGTTACTGAAAACTCACGAAGTTTCAGATAATTACTCCATCTTCCTACTGTCTTTAATTCAGAGATAAATATCTTTAAAATATTAAGAATTGAGATCCTTTATAACTGTGTTTTTGGAAAATTATGGAAAGAAATTCTGCTTAAACTACCCATTAATCATGATTAGATAAAACATTTCGTGACAGCTTTTCTACCGACTGATAATTCTTATGTAGTGCTTGATCTGGTGGCATTTGAATTGCATTTGTTGAATGTCTGTGTTGTACTGCATGCTTAGCTTGCATCTGTCTGCTGTTGTCGGACTGTTCTGTCAGTGTATCACATCATAGAAATATTACGAGGCGTTCAGTTACGTCTTTTTCAAGGTGTATATTGAATATTTCAAATTTTTTATTTATGTGCCAGTAATTAATATATAAGAATTTTTAAATAAATTACATGATATTAGTGAGATGCCAAAGAAACTCACGGAATAATGAATTTCGGCAGCTGATAATTATTTCGAAATTCGAGCTCGAATAGTCTACGTTGCGGTTACATCCGTCTGTTCATTTTAGTGAATAAAACGGAAGATAATGTTGTATTAGTCTTTTCTGAAACCCATTCTGCACATTTTAGTCTAATGTGCTTTGGAATTGAATGTATGTCTGTCCGTCTGTCCACATGTTCCATCTCCAAAACCACCGAACGTATATCAGTGGAATTTAGTAATGAGGGTATGCAAAAAAAAGTTGGATAAATTTAGTTTCCGTTTGTATCGATCAAATATAACCCTTTGTAAGCTCAGATATAATTTATTTTTTCGTATTCACAAAAACAGCTCATCGTACAAAGAAATTGGCTCATGACATGAAACGTAGGTCTCGTCCAATTCTTAAGCTTTTATTTCGAACATGTTTGTGTGTGGTGTTCATTTAACCTGTGCCTCCTGCCTGCCCCCATCAGGTCACCCTCTTGTATTCGTTCTATATAGATGATACAGCGTCGTTACATAAGACACAGAAGAACACAGTTAATATTTTTATTGGGAAGTTATTTAGTTGAATTAATATTATACTTCTAGAAGAATTTTATATATCGTAAAAATATCTTTATTTATGTATTCGTAAATCCTTTGCGATCTATAGGCGAATATTCAATCTGATATTTCTCCAAAGGCTTTGATAAGTATCTGTTATTGGACGCTACGACTTCACATTTGAATATACTGGTACTTCGAAGTCGCTTCCACCACACCACACATGATCATTCGACTCTGTTATAACCTCTGAAAACAGAAACTGTATCGTTAAATTACGTAGAGACTGAATCATGTTATATATACTCAGGGAAGGGATACAGGATTTGCTGCTAACGTGCCAAAAATTGTCCCTATGGCTTGCTGTGAAGTAATCACGTGTACTGAGATACATGGGTATGTTTTAAACCTATGTAGTATCGGTGTGCCTAAAGATCAAAGGCACGTTCATTTCAGGCTTATGATTAGCTTCACGAAACTCTGACAGTCAGTACTGTTGTATCCAGACACACAGAAAATGCCCTGAAGGCGACTTCATCGTTTTGTGTCCTTCGGTCTCCTTTATTAAAGGTAACGAGAGGTTATCCCAAAGCGCTATGAGACTTTTGTTTACTGTTTATTGTATGATACACCTTTTTTACTTTTTCGTCACATATTTCCGTGCCTCGAGCATAGAATTTTCAATAATTTAATTTAATGTTCTTTCCAACGAAATATAGGTCATTTGAACCATTATGTCCACGTGTGTGTGTGTCTGCCTCTGCTCCCTGATAACATTTTAACTTTATCATCGTACGTAATTAATTTTGTACCACGCGGTAAGAGAATTTCTCAGTGACTGCTCCGTAGAGTTATTTACTTAGAAAAAGAAACAACGCGTGACGAAAAATGATAGAGATAAATAAGAAAGGAGTTAGGCACAGGAAGGAAGATAGAATGAGATAAAGCAAGAAATAAAGTGTAGAAGGATGAAAAGAATGAGAGACAACGACAGAGAAAAATCATTAAGTAACAATATAAGAAAATAATGAAGGAAGAAAATTAGGTAGATATTTAGACGGAAGGGTTGGTAGGTAGGCACAAGATAGAAAGAATAAATTATTAAATAAATAAATACTCTAAACACTGTTTTGATGGCGTCAGGTTAGAACCTGAATATTTCAGTAAACAGTTATGACAATGTGAGATTTGAGGTTCTCACGGCGGGAAGTCTGGTATAGTTCACCAACGTTTCAGAGGTGCTTGCTTCCTCCGTCATCAGGACGATGATAAGCCTCGCGCGGCAACATCCCAGAAGACCGTCGTCTTCAGTTATGACAGTGCTCCGTATCGCCGTAACCTGCCGGGTGACATCTAAAACGCCAGATCGTGTCAGTACACGAAGCTTCTGGACCAGTGGCGTTACAGACCGTTTGCCATTCATGTGCTCGGTAGTCTGTGCACGGAAAAGATTGGAAAACCGTATACTACTAAATTGCTTTCCCGCCTCGTGCACTTGTGTCAGATTTGAATTTCTTACGTAAACTACGTCGTGCATTTTACCATTAAACTCTACAATTAGTCCATAAACTGGTAACATATTCCTTAGATAACGACATCTGGCTGACCAGATAGTCTGTTCGATTCCACCAGAAAGATTGATAAACATAATTTGTTGGGTTTGTGTATTTAATATCTAAACGAATACATATTCTAGTTGCATTCAAAATAATTTTTTCTAATTTTAGAACCTGTGCTTATTCTTACATTTGATTCAAAACAAATACGTTTTCTATAGAGCTGTTTTTATTTCAATGTGCGAGACTACTTGAAGACCTAGATATAGATGGGAAATCAACACTAAATTGGGATCTTAAAGAAATCGTCTGGTGTCAACTGGTTTGTGATATGGTTCAGTGTTGGACAGTTTTGAATATATAATGAACTTGTGGGCTGTATAAATTCCCGAAATTTTATAACTAGCTGAGTGACTACGGATTATTACGTATTATTCAAACGGGCTTCTGCTTCAGGAGATTAGTTATGACATCTAGGATATTCTATAAAACACAATCTGACATTCACTTTCGTGACTTCTCAATTTTATGAGTTGTATAACGCCATTCATTCTATTGGTAACATTTGATCACTCTTTGCATAAATAGAGTTGTGTATCTGAGATAGTTATTCCATGATTTTTGAATATTCACACTTAACGAACCTAATTTCCTTCTTCGGTCTTTGTTCAGAGCAACTGAGGGATGTCACGTAATCCTTATTAAAGTATTTGGTAATGGTTGCAATTCAATACAGGTTAATAAGCACGCATTATCACTGTGACTATACAAGATCTAAAGCAGATCACGTCATGTTGTAACCTTAGCTCACCAGCCCGTCAGCTAACTTTAAACAGTCGAACTGCAAGGATGTTTTCTACACACGGGCAACGAGTGTTCATTGTCGAAAACTTTCTGGCATCTCGTTTTTACTTAATTTACCAGAATGACTTTTGGGACACACTTAACGATACCCCTGTGTCAAAGAAATCGACAATATGTCGTCTAGCGAACCGTTTCTCTGATATAGGATCTCTTCACTTGCTTAAATCAGACATCAGGAAAAGAGTAGACGTTTGCAGCGTTGAAGGTAGTGGACATTCCCAATGATTAGTAAAACATTGTTTTCTGATTTCAGTACAGTTTATTTGTCGACAAATAGACCATGTGTCAGGACTTGGTCGCTTGACTTTTCGATTGTTCTGTATGAGGTTTAGCGATACGTGACACAAAGAGTGTCTCCATGGTTTTCGTTGAGGCACATTTGTTCATCTCGAAATCAGAGATAGTAGCATTTTTACGCCAAATGAAGAGTACTTGAAGTGCTTCACAGTTTCCCCTAGAGATCAATATCTCCTTGTGGTTGATGACTGCGTGTTGAAACGAGGTGGGATATAGCGGAAGCAATTTGTGAGGAATGACGGAGAAACGGTGCTTTGCAGAGATAGCATTCGCTACGTCATCTAAATTCATGAATTCGTTCTTGTTACAGTGTACTCTGCATAAAGCAGTAGCAGTTCCAAGATTTCTTCTTATATCATAAACCTTATTTTCATGAAAGTTGCATTAATTTTTATTCCGCGCATTTACTTAGGGGAGAGGTCCTATCAAACTTCTGCCTGTCTTTGCTTTGAATATTTTATCTAATGCTTGTAATTCCAAGGCGTCATTTATTTTCCATCTAACTGCACAACATTAGTACTTGCTTCTCTAAAGTCTTTACGAAATAAAATGTGAGCTGTAACATTCATCGTCGAACTTGTCTTATGAAACGACGTGAAATTAGTTTAATGTAACAGGCATTAAAATAGTGGAAGTACGAAGAACATGCCAAGTAAGGCCCAAAGGGGCGAATAAAGATAAATTAGCATTAAGTAATTTAGCAGGGTTGTATATATTTGTTTGCTATCGAAAAAATGTCCGTCGGAATTCAACGGGGAATTATTTATTTCCTATTTCTATCCCCCGTTTCCCTCATATTCTTATCTCTTTCGCTCCTTTGACATATTTTCGTTTTACAATTTCTTCCATTTGTTTGATATTCTTGCTGTATTGTCGTAACGTTGTTCTGAATGTTTTGCAGTGATTGAAAATAGCGTTAAGTGAGAGATATTTCTAGTTTCCTGAG